AAAAAAAAAAAACGAGAATGTAAATACAAAAAATATAAAATCATGGATTGCCAAGTATAATCATCAAACATGAGTCGAACGTAACTTTTTCTTGGCTCTAGTGTCATCGGTATCGATACTGCATGCCAGATGCTCGAAATATTGATTATCTCACTATGCATGAATATAGTTTAGCAGGAGCACGTATTACGAACAAGAAAATCATTTTTCTTTTTGCCTGAAGATATATACGCTGGTTATGTCACTGTGGATATAACTTATAATTTATAATTTATAATTTATAATTTATAATTTATAAAAAGCACGTGCTACGAAGGAGGGAATATATTTCTTGCGAAGTGCAAAATTTGAAGATGGGAGAAATGATAACAAACTTAATGATATTCAACAATCGAATGTTTGATGAACAAATAATTAAAGGATATTTAGAAAATACTGAATTAAAAAATAGGGAAGAATTATTGAAAATTTTCTAAAACTTTACGACAATGAATATCTTGTTCTTTATCAATATACTTTATATACTTATACTTTTCAATCGTAGAAGAGTTAGAATATTTATTGAAAAAGACAATTACGTTGTGCAAGCACATACTACCTAGTATTTCGAAAAATATCTTTCCAGAAAGTGAAGGGTCTGCTTGAAAATATCACAACTATAAAATAACATTTCATAGTCAAAATTTGTTTACGTGGAATATATATTTATGCCTTCAAAGAAAGAATATTAATATATGCATGATTAATATCAACGATTTTTAACGAAACGTTAAAGGATATCAATTCTATCAGTTCTACAATGGTATAAACAATATCATTTTGGGTCATTAATTGAGGATGATGCATAAACAGTGCGCAATACGACTATTAATAAACGTCGTTCAACACCGTTCAGTCACGATCTAATTATTATTCGGGAGGTGCTGATTGGTCGTTCCCAATGTGGCAATCGTAAGAAAAAGCTACAAAAGATACCAGCGCACTTGACCGGCCCAATTTTTCTCGGCCGTTTCGTAGCAAGTGTCACCTCCGGTTGTTCCGACAATGAAAACTCCGTGAGTAAGAAATCAGGAAATTTCCCGTAAAAACGAAATCCTGTGCCTAACACGTTTAACTCCACGAGTACAACCCTTTCTATTCAAGGTAGATGTTGGATGAAACATTAACAATACCCACAAAAAATAATCAAAATAAACAGTTTTGAGGAAGCAATTTGTCGATATCTCCCAGCGAAGACTGACATTTGTGTAATAATAATAATAACAATAATAATAATAAAGACAGGATTAATAATAATAAAGACAAGAGAGAAGGAGGAATCCAGGATAAATTTTTAACATAGATTTGGAAAATTTCGGATCGTTTCAACAGTCCAAGACGAGTAAAGAGAAATTCTAATTTAGAAGAAACGTAGTCGAGGACTTGCAATAAATTTTTCCAAGAAGTCTTCCAAGAAGGAATCACCGAGTGAGTCGAGAAACTTAGAAGGGCCGAAGAGACTGAAAGGCAAACGAAAATGCAAGGCCCCACGCCGCTAACGTACATACCCGCGGAGCCAAGGTGGAAACACTGGCCAACCTACATTTACGACAAGAACTACAGTTACGGGGTCAATTTCTATCAACCGATGCTGGAGTACATCGATCGTCAAGGTCGAAGTTCCTCGTTAACGAGCGATTATCGGAGCCACAGATCGGAATTACCGGAATTACCCTGGTCGGATGGTAGAGCTTTATGGGAGAACAGGCCTGTAGAGAGATACCCGAGACACGAACTGATTAAACGGGCAATCGACGCGGAGGACGAGGCCAGGGATCATCTGTCCCACTTCAAGGTACGAGACGAGATCGGAGAGTGAAAGTCGAGCCGGCTCGAGCGTGGAAAAGCGGTCAATTCACGCGGTTAGGCACCTTCGCGACTGGTTGACCTTTTCGTTCGCTAAATTTGGCGCCACGGAAGGGGTTGCTTCGACGTGGACGATGCTTTGCACGCCGTCGAATGCCTAACGAGGCTGCTACCGTCTTTTGACCAGACCTCTGTCAATCAAACGTGCGTAGGAACGAATTCCTCTTGGGAGGAAAGTTCACGGTCGCTGGCCATCGATTTGGTGACTTGGGTCGGGCGATGTGATTTCGGTGAATGAGACTCGAGTTTGAGAATTCGACTTGGAGATGATGGATGCCAGGTGAAAGTTGATTTAGGTCTTGTTTTAACTTTCAAGAGTTAAGATTTTGCGTCATTTGGATTCTTTGGAAACGTTCAGGACAGATGAAAGATCGTTGTAGGGTTGGATCATTTCATAAACAGTGAGAGTTGAATTTAAGGGGAATAGATAATTTCGAATTAGCAAAAATATGGCGAGTATTTTGAGATATTTCAAAATTAATTTGAACACGTTAGTTTGAAATTAAATAATCGCAATATTCTACGTATTTTAGATTTCTAAACAATGCAACTTAGTTAAATCGAACAATTGATACTATATCCTTAAACAACCGAGTCATTGTTTATACAGCATTCTAAATACACAAGTTAAATTTAAATCTATTATTTGCTTGTTTTTATACGATAAAATAGATACAATCTATTTTTTTTAAATAATTTAATGCCCATTTGAAATATAAAAATTTGCTTTCTTATTATGATTTTATGCCCTTTCGAAGATATGGCATCATTTGTACAAACAATTAAAGACTTTTCTCAAGCCAACAGAAAACTTTCAAAAGACAGAACCCTAGATTCATTTACTACTACATTTTGAAACACGAATGAGCATGTAATGGTGCCGATTATACTATTTCCGAAATCTATTCTCCGGTCCAATAACTCAAGCCTGTGACGCCTTGTTGCCGCCCCACTATCACCAAATCTTAATTTAACACGGTCACGGCGAGCCACTGGCAGAAACACTTCTTCGACGTAATAAATAAAATCTAGTTGCGCGATAGAAAGCAGGTAATTCCGACATTTCTCATTGTTATTAATATCGTCCAACTTTTTGCCGTCATTGTTACACCTAGACAGTCGATACCTACTACTTTGACAGAAAATAAAAATAAGGTGGCAACGTCTGGCAGTCATTCGGTGGATTAGATTTAAAGTGGAAGCAACGAAACGAGTCGGGACGCAACTCTCAGGGGTGCCAAGTCTTGCGGCGCGTACATTAAAAAATCCATCTCGCGTCCCGTGTGTCCCGGGGCCGGGAAGCCAGCACTCCGCTCCGATTGGCAGTCGTTCTCGGGTCTCTAGAGAGAGTCGATCGAGAGAGTGTGCATCGGTCACTTTCGAATTCTGGACCGCTGTTGCTAAGTTTAGCAACGAGCCAGAGACGGGCAGGGAACGATTGTTAGGAAAGGGTCGTCGTTCGCGAAAACCACTACTCGCTGTCGCTTTCGCTCTCCGTTTCGCTATAATTTCTTATTTCTCGCGGTCATCGCGATTAATCGCGGTTAATCGCGGGCGATCGGAAAGACAGCCAACACAGCCGACACAGCGGATTGACCTGCTGCTTTTGCCTTCCCGAAGATAGCGAATCGGTCCAACTTCAGCTTGTCGAAGGTCGCTCAGGCTAGTCACGTGACCAGAGAAATATTCCCGCGAAAACCAGAGGAAATCAAACGTCCGTCAAACTTGTTCCTGTTACTGGAGAGTGCACGCGTGAGATCCCTAAGAGAAATGGCCAATATCGATATTCAATCGCTGAGAGACGCGCAGGTCATATCCGAGATACAAGACACGCTCAGTCGCGGTAAAAGTCTGCGTGGTAAATCGGCCAGAGCGATCGGGTTCCATCTAACAGCAGAATCGCTGAAGAAACTGAACAGAAGTCAAGAACTGGCTGATATTCGGAAGGAAACTGCGTCAGCAAATTATTTGCTGGACGGCAGAGATCGGTTGAGGATCTTGGAAGAGAGGACCAAGTATTTGCTGGACGAGGACAATCTGATCGCGCCGTTGAACAGCCTGAGCAGGGAGCTGAAAGGATACGAGGAGAAGTCGAGCAATTACTTCCTGGACAAGAGGTATCGACACCCGACCAGACCGAGACGATTGTACGGATGCCTGGGAATCAGGCCCGCTTAAAAGGATGGAAATTCTAGTAGATTAGTTAATCGTGTGGGTAAGAGTAATGTGACACGGAACAATTACGAAAATAAACGATAGAAATGAGAAGTAATTATACTGTCGTTTGACCCTCGAAGCTTGTAGGCGCAGATTAAACGAAAATGTATCGATTAGATTAGAATTTTTGGTTTATTTTTTTTCGTTCCTGAAAATAATTTGTTCATTAAAATTTTGCTTAGAACATCAATGGATTCTCACGAGATTCACACTTACATAAGATAATAATCATCTTTCTCTAAATATCTCAATCATCAAATATTTTTTTATTTTTTAAACTTCGATTCTTCGTTTTTGCTTGACATTCAATTGTCATTTAAATTTTAGAGCAGCTGCAAATATCTTTAATATCGAACGAAATTAATCATCATCTCTAAAGCGCCGAGCGAAACATTGAAACATTGAAATAAATTACGCGCATCTTTCTTGTTACATAAACACACTTTCCACTTGTGATAACACAAATGGTAATGCTTCTGAAATCGATGCACCCATTGCCAAGCTAACTATTGCATCGAAACATCCAAACTAATGCTGCATCGAAATAGACAAAAGCGCAAAGAATCCCTAACCAACGTGTTTCAAAACACCCCGGTAATCTAACACTCGTTGAGTTACTAAATATGTTATTGGTAAAATGTCAAATATTTCTAAACGCGTTAACCTTCGGTGTTCACCGAATGGTGCGATTCTCTTGCAAACGTGATGATAGCAATGACAGAAAGGCATGGTACCTTCACGATCCAAAATTCTTGCTGTTGTCACCTGGAAACAATAGTCTGGTTTGAAACCCTATAAAACGATTGTAAGGGGTGATCGTATGTTCACACGAAATGAAATAAATTAGCAAACAGACCAGTATCGAGATCGAGCAGCTGAACGCCCGCGTAGTCGAGGCGGAGACGAAGTTGAAGACCGAGGTGCAACGCGTGAAGAAGAAGCTGCAAGTCCAGATCACCGAACTGGAACTGTCCTTGGACGTTGCCAACAAGAACAACATCGACTTGCAGAAGACCATCAAAAAGCAATCGCTCACTTTGACCGTAAGTATAGAATATGTATTTTTGTCGACGCGTTGATCGAACATTCTTTCAGATTTTCTTAGTTAAATAATACGACGAAGCACGATAAAAAATTAAAAAAAAAAATAGATTGTCATCAACAACGCATAATTTAGTTCTTCGTCACCTCATCACTGCCTTTTAAAAATATTCTAATGACTTTTGTTCAAGCGATTCAATGTCACGTGTATATTTTTAATTGAATATTTTCACGTCCCTTTTTAATTTAGTTTTGAACTTTTGCCAGAGAGGTTAATTCTTAGCACTGAATATATCAATAAAATTACTTCTGATTCGATACACAGGACTGTCACCCACCTGTAGGTGATGACAGCCATACGGAAACTTATTCATCGTCCAGATATGAGTGACAGGTGGTAGTTGATGTATTGAGAGAGATTGATAGCTGTTTGGCAAGGAATTGTATGTTCTAAACGCTGTGTCATTACTATATAGGAACTCCAAGCCCACTACGACGAAGTTCAACGTCAACTACAGGTAACTCTAGACCAACTAGGTATCAGTCAACGACGCCTGCAATCATTAACAGCCGAGCTCGAGGAAGTACGCGGAAATTATGAATCTGTAAGTATTATTCAATTTATCATAGAAATTAATATGAAATCAAGTCTCAAGATCTTGTGATAAAATAGAAGCTCAAAGTCGTAGTGAATTTAAATAAAATTTTGATCAGATTTAGCTTCAAAGTCTTTAGGCATTCCTTTGCAGTGCAGTTTATTGTAAAGAGATTTTCCGCGTTTCGTCATTTCGATATTTTTATCCTTAAACTAAAAATAAACACTGAATAAACAAAGATAGAATGGGTGAACGGAATGGCGGGTTTTTCCATTCGGTAGCTTGAACGACCAATTGATTTTAAACAGGCTATAAATACTCCAGACGGTAACGCCGAACGCTGACTTGAAATGTACCAGGCAGTGACGTAAAATTTTGATTTCTTCGCCATTATATCGCCATTATATTATATTTTCTGAATTTAATATATTATTTAAAAAATTGAGGTAAATTAATCGAAATTAGTATTAACAATTCGACACTTGTAACAACAATTACAATGTTGAAAAGAAAGTTGATCAAAGTAGCTTTTTTGAAAATGGGAGAAAAAAATCAAAAGAAAATTGACTGCATATTCTGTTTGATACTTTAATTTTAAATTATCTGTCTTTGTTCTATTCTTACTATAATAACCTAACGATGACTGCTCTCGATACGATGACAAATAACAATATTTTCAAAGGCCCTCCGTGCAAAGAGAAGCGTCGAACAGCAATACGAGGAGTCGGTTAGTCGCATCAACGAGTTGACCACCATCAACGTGAATCTTACTTCATCGAAAGTGAAACTCGAGCAAGAACTGACTACTCTGGCCGGAGACTACGAAGAAGTGACCAAGGAGCTGAGAGTGAGCGATGAGAGATACCAACGGGTACAAAATGAATTGAAGCACACCGTCGAAATTCTGCACGAGGAACAAGAACGTATTGTCAAGATCGAGTCTATCAAGAAGTCTCTTGAAATTGAAGTGAAGAACTTGTCTGTGAGATTGGAGGAAGTGGAGGCCAACGCCATTGTTGGTGGCAAGCGCATCATCAGTAAACTCGAAGCTAGGGTGAGTCGAAACTTTTTCACTACTTCCTCTACCAAAAATATTTCTAAGCAAATTCATCTAAATTATCCTCAATCTCTTTATACAACTTGCAATGGCATTAATCGAATGACTAGCTTCAAAAGACATTTCGAATTTTTGAAATAACATTTGTAGTCACACGTGTCTCACAAAGTAACCATTACAATGTGAAACACAAATCTATAAATTCTAATTTTGTACAAATTCCCCTGATAGATCCGCGACTTGGAGCTGGAACTTGACGAAGAGAAACGCCGACACGCCGAGACCGTAAAGATCCTCCGCAAGAAAGAACGCAATATCAAGGAAGTGATGATCCAAGTAGAGGAAGACGCGAAGAACATCACATTGTTGCAAGAATCGTTGGATAAAGCGAGCCAGAAAGTGAGCATCTACAAGAGGCAACTGCAAGAGCAGGAGGGCATGTCACAGCAGAGCGTGACCAGGGTTCGCCGGTTCCAACGGGAACTGGAGGCTGCTGAAGACCGAGCTGACACCGCCGAGAGCAACTTGTCTCTGATCCGCGCAAAACATCGCAGTTTCGTTACCACCTCCACCGTGCCCGGTTCTCAGGTATACCTCGTCCAGGAGACGAGGTCTGACCTGTAAAAGCGCCAACATCATCGACACCCTATCCTTTACCACTTCGAACGCCACCTCGTCGTCATTAAAAACGTATGTATTTATAACCAAGAAATTACATGTAAGTTTGAACCAATTTGATCTCAAGTGAAAATAAAAAAAATAACAATATGGTTACTTCAACTATCTCGTTTCTGTTTATTTTAGAAATAGCGTTAAGGAGTAAATTATTTTCAAATCTTCATTCTTTCAAATATAA